CCCCCGTAGCTAGCTCCGCCCACCGTAACAGACATCGGACAATAGAAAGGCTTGCGTGTAATCTCCTTCTGTTATAACTCCTTGCTTATATTCGATACGGGTTTAGCTATGATAAATTGCATTCGCTTTACGCCAATTTGAACGTGCCTTTTTTTTCTTTCGTTCATTTTTTACATGAGAAAATTCCGATTTAGCTGTAAACCTGCACCTTTCATCTTTGACCCCAAAAGTTCGGGTTTTTGGTATTAAGTTTAGCGGGCTACGTGTACAAGGAAACTGCAACTGCAAAGGGGAATTGTTTTCTTTTTAATCAATTTTTTATCATTTTCTTTTTTCGTTGCCGGGGGTTGTTCTTGGATGACAGTTGGTAAGGAATATTACACTAATTATTTACGTTTCTCATGTATATAATTACAAGTAACATCTGGAAGACATCTACTGTTTCATTTATTCCATACACCTTGCATATCCATTCTTATTTTTGGTCTTACTCATTATATTTTCCCGTGAATTAAAATGTATCAAGTCCTAGTTAATGTAGTTTTTAAGAAAGGTATCAAAAACAAACCCCGTCTCCCGTGGCGGTAAACTAAACCAGATCCATATCGTCTGCTAGCTTGACCTGAACAACGATATGTCAGGTCATTTTTTTTAACGCATCGACCTTTGACCGTGAAACGATTCATTTCTGGGCACCTTAAAGGCACGTGTTTGTAGGAGAAGATCACCCTGCGCGTCCCTAAAAATGGCATCACCTCTGTACATCTCGACACGCGCTTCTTGTAACCTTTGAATGCCTGGAAACTGAGGGTGTGGAAATCTCATACTTCGTCTGATTTAAAGAACACCTGGGCGTTCACAAAGAAAACAAACAGCACCAGACGACCTGACGATTACTGTTTCTTTCTCTTAGGATAGCACATTTTACGTCTGTTAAAGCGCGTTCTCCCGTCACGCTTTTGACGATGATCTTACCAGTATCAGCATAGCAGTGGAAATATGTTTCGCATAGAGAGGGAATGTGTGTGTGTGTGTGTGTGTGTGTGTGTGTGTGTGTGTGTGTGTGAATGTGGGGGGGGGGGGGNACCTGACGATTACTGTTTCTTTCTCTTAGGATAGCACATTTTACGTCTGTTAAAGCGCGTTCTCCCGTCACGCTTTTGACGATGATCTTACCAGTATCAGCATAGCAGTGGAAATATGTTTCGCATAGAGAGGGGATGTGTGTGTGTGTGTGTGTGTGTGTGTGTGTGTGTGTGTGTGTGAATGTGGGGGGGGGGGGTGTAGCTGCTTGTTCTTATGTGTTTCGCCATGCTATAGGCGGTGTCGAAAACTTGAAAACTTGAATGCATGCTTAGTGAATTTCATCATTTCATTCTCAAAAGCAAAAAAAAAAAAAAAAAAAAATAGAGCGATAAAAAAAAAGAGTAAAAGGAAAAATGTCACCGACCTGTCATCACTTAGAGCAGTTCTGTCACGCCTAGCGTTATTTCCTACCAGAAGTAGTTGATATGTTACTTCTCAGTCATCATAAAAATTGAAGTTATAATGTATGGAAATTAGCGTTGACTGAGTGCACATCGCGATACTTTAACTAGTAAGAGGGGATTTTATGTATAGCATGCATCAATTATCGGTGAAACGTGTATTTTTTGTTTGTGATATTTCTTTATAGTCACTGTGCGAACTGCTATATTATTTTATTTTTATTCAGTATCGAGATTCATAAATGCTCCCCCTTATTTCACGTCACCTTATATTGAATGCATTAACTGTTATATTATCAATATTCTTGTATATACACAACTATCTTCCTCAAAGATATGCCCTTGTTTTACAGGACCCGCCACTTGGGGCCAATCGTTCCAGCACGCCGCGGGAGATTGCCAGTCGCCGATAGACCTCAAAGACACTGTAGTTGACAGCGAGCTGGCGGCACGCCCTCTAGTGTTCAACTACCCCACCGCCAGATGCACGAACATCTCGAACACCGGGTACTCGTTTAAGGTGGACATCGACCATGACGGAGACAACAGTATGTTGAAGCGTTTTTAATGTGCATTTATTTCCCTTTGTTCTATATGGTCTGCATGTCTGCCAGATTGGCTGTTTTGGTTTATCTGCGTTTATATGTACATGTATTATTCGTTGTTTATGCGCTAGTAATATATTTTATATGTATCACTCTTGTAAATGGGATTGGTGTTTTTTGACAAAATGACACAAGTTTATAACTTGATATATATGTAGCTGTTGGGTTTTTTTTCGTACACATCACAAAACAAACTCCCCTTCTCTACTGTGTCGATTTCGATGCTGGAGACTCAAATCGAAGATTTCGCAAGGAGAGTCTTGCCTTAAATTCCGAACAGTGTGCATACATAGATTTTTTTCGCCCTTAAACTTGTGTCTTTTTGGATAAAACATTTAATCTTTCCTTTTCATTTTAATGGGCAAATGTATTATTGCATGATTGAATTTGTATAATCAGCGATGATTATTCTAAAGCTTTTTTTCATCATCTTGTAATTTATGATTAACCTACATATTGTAATTTTTCTTGCTTAGCCTGCGTGTCTTTAGTATTTTATTCTACCTTTATTCTATGATTTCGTATGTGCGTTGACACATTGACAAAGGTTAACCAGTTTACATGCTCTCATTGGCTAGGGAGGAGTTTTTCAAAACTGTCACCCAGCAGCAGTCCTCTTAAAGTGTAACGGTGTGGATCGGGCGTTTCACGCGATCCATTCAGGTGGCATTGTGCTGGGTTGGTGACTTCATGAAACTGGTTGAGCGATGGTTTTGGCTTTGTCGTTGTGAATACATCATTGTTGTTATATGCTGTGCTTTAAGCTTGGAATGATTTGTTTCCATTTCTGCTAGCTACTTATATAGTGGACAATCAGAAGGCTAGGACCAACAGTAAGCCGTTTATATTTGTTGTCTTGATTTGTATTTTGCGTTAGTTTATCAATGAATGTTTAGCGCGACCAGTTGCACGCTTACGCATGATTTTTGTTGTAGTTTGTATGGATTTTAAATTGCCTGATAATAATTGTGTTAGCGATTTTATCTTTGAAGTTTAAAGTATTTTTTTTTCACAAAAATTGCACAGTTCGTGTGTATATGTTAATCACGTTAATTGCTTACTAAATGTTTCATATTCACATGTAATATCTAACATTTTGCAGGGAAATTTGACGTTTATCTACTAACGTGTAGCATGTTATTCAGACGGGTAATTAATCAATATTTAAGAGAGAATAACTGGTTTATTAAAAAAAAGACCTTTCACCATTCTCCTCATGGTGTTAGGTGTGGTATTTTCACCCAGTATCTTTAAATAACTTTTCTTCTATGTAATTACCATGCCTAACCAAGCAAGAAATGGCAAACATTTACCCTAGCGATATCCTTGAATCGTGTGCCTTGTTAACCTCTTACTCTTAGGCCTACAGAATCCCCTATCTGGAATCCCTAAATTTCGGAAATTTTTTGTCTGGTTCAGTGGTGCACCACCTTAGCTTCAAATAACATAAAGACAAAGTCGACAGGCGAACTCTTGGTAACATCAACGTCTATTGTACTGCATTCTCCAACTTGCCTCTATGTATTTGTTTTATATTATAATTTTGGCTAGCATTTAAGCTAAAAAATGTCATTTTGTTTGTAATATTTCCGATTTATAAAAAAATCCAAAAATAAAAAGAATGAATAAGGCAGTTTTATGAAACAGATGCCTATCTTTTTTTTTATGTTTCTTATAATTTCTTTTAAAATAAAGGTATGAACACCGTTCCAACAAATTCCAGTAATTTAGTCACGTATGTTGTGTTTCACCAGGTCTGTCAGGCGGCCCCCTCACCAGCCACTTCAAGCCGATCCAGTTTCACTTTCACTGGGGCAAAGAGGACGACAGGGGCTCCGAGCACACAGTGGAAGGGCAGAATTACTCCGCAGAGGTACGCACGCGGTGCACGTGGTTATGATTCGAGAATCTTCGTACAATTTCGTGTGCCTTTGTGAGCTTGCATCTTATATGTGATTTCACTGCACTTATTTTACTTTTACATATGGATACTTTTATTAAGTGAACAATGTTTGTTCTGGTGTAAGAAGGTTGGAAAAAGAAATAATTGTCACACTGCCAGCTTACAATATCGTTATTGTGAAATGTTAAGATAGCCACATAAAGTGAAATGTAATAGATTTTTGTGAGGTGCAACAGAGGAGGAGAAAAGTAAAGATGTTGGGACTTTAAAACGGTGTTAAATATGACACAATGTGCATAAACAGTTTATATAAGGATATGCAGAGTAAAGCATTTTATGTAATTTAGCCTTGTAGGCCTCCTGTCTGCCTAGGTCAAGCGTCTGGGAAATTCTGTTCAATGAGTAAGAGTTGAGCACAGCTGGCAAATATTTGATGATTGAAAGGAATTAACATGAGAAGTACAAATTTCGATAAAAACATGTTTATCACGTCACCTCCTACTTGCAAAAGTATACCCACTGACGGTTCAAATCTCACTGGCTGACAGATATTTCGACTCTTTGCGTTTTAACAAGAAACAAACAAACTAAAAATCTCGACAGACATTTTTTAAAGATATATAACCATGTGTATTTGGTGTTGGCAGTCCAGTTTACCAAAAGAAAATTATTTGTAAACAGATAAAGATGCATGTTTTTTCACAGACATAGGAGCCATCGACATTGGGTCTTAACACGGGCAGACAAAGACCATAATAACCGAGTATATTATACTCGTTATTTCAACACATAACACTCACAGATTGAATTTACTGTCTATAATTCTTTCTAGCTCCACATTGTTCACTGGACCAAGGATAAAGGGGCCTCCTTCTCCGAGGCAGCCTCGGCTCAGGGTGGTCTGGCCGTTCTAGGGATGCTGATTAAGGTCGGCCAGGAACATTCGGAGCTTCAGAAGTCTCTTAGGTACTGCAGTGAGATCAAATATGCCGGGGATGAGAGGAAGTTAGCTGATAACGACAATATGCAGCTGACGGCCTTGCTGCCAAGTGAGTTTTTGCGACGTTATGTCTTTTGTGACGTGATAACACAATTGTGACGTACTCACACGTGATAAAACTATCGAATATGTGCCACCTCTCTTTTAAATTAAAATTTATAAAATTGATATTCATGAGTAATTACCACAGATAATATGAGATTTTTAAAGTCCTCTTTTTCTGTCGACAAATAGTTTCAATCAACCAGACCCTTGCAAGAGGATCACATTAATCAATATGTCCTTTATAATGGTTTGTCTGATCTTATTTTATTTAGAGAATACCACTGCCTATTGGACATATAGTGGGTCCCTTACAACACCGCCATGCTATGAATCCGTGAATTGGATTGTATTCAAAGAGCCAATTGAAATGTCGCGAGCACAGGTATCCTAAACTTCTTTCGTAATCATGCAAAAGTAGTGCCCTTAGACATTTACATAAGTCTTTTCAGTATTATGTACTAGAAGTTTTACAAAATCAGTCAGTATAAAGGCGCCAGTATCTGCACCGGGTAATACAGTCCATGTCATATATATATATATATATATATATATATATATATATATATATCGGTATATTATAGGCACCAAATGCAAATATCAAATGCTTAAGATTACTATCCGTACAAATATAATTTTACCTTACGAAAAATGTTTTATTTTTAATGATGGAAATTACAGCTATACATGTATCTATAAATTATAAGAAATTTGGAATCCTTTATGCCTGCTTATTCTTAGATTAATACTTGTAGATTCACACGAAGAAAGCTTTACTTTAATTTCATGCGCCTTTATGGATGCTATCAAAAAGATGATCAAAAAAAAAAAAATGAAATTAAAACAAAATGGTAGAGAATAAGTACAACAACGTAGGAAATGTCCTTCTTTCATGTCTCTTTTTAACTCTCTTCCTAGCTGGATGCACTGCGCGATCTCCGCAGCCACAAGGCTGGTACCTGTCCCAGTGAAGACGACGAGTTTTGTGGCCACGTGGTCGACAACTACAGGCCTCCTCAACCACTGAAGGGACGCGTCTTAAAATGTTGTCAGTAACAGAGAGAAGAGACAACACTGTGATATTGTTGAACGCACAGATTATAACGCATTATACATCCTTGTCCAAGATTGATAAACTCGTGTATTCAAGAGGATTTGTTTTCCAATGATGGCTTAATATTTGCTTCCGCAGTCCAGAGTAGTCTTTATAATACCAGTGAACATGACGTTGCTTTGTTTGACCAGTCACCTCCATGGAGACGTGGTTCATTCCAAAGGTTTTTTTTTCTTTGTATGTCATTTCTTTCTCTGTATAATAAGACTTGTTCTACTCTAAGTTTTCTATAAAAAAAGGCACACCTCATGTCGTCTAAGATGTCTTGAACACTTTGATAAGATGTGGACAAAACTGTTAGTGTCTAGAAGAAATGTTACGAAGAAAAGAATTCTGTGGGACGATCCACCCGTTTAAGCTCCTTGTGAGGAATTGATGGCAACTAGCTCCCCCTATAATTAGTATTATTCTCTAAAACGCATGATTGGGTAAGCCAATTCGGTTCCGTGCTTTAATTTGTGTTCTCTTGAGGTAACGTATTTGATACATTTTCATTAAGGGCAATAATTGTGAGTAGAGACTAGTCTTTGGAATCCTTAGCCATCATGCCCCGAGTCAAAATTGTTTCTTGAAGACCTTGCGAAGAGATATAAGTAAAATCCACTTTGATGTTTGAAACCACCTTTCGTAAGAGTAAAAATAACAGAAACGATCACTTTTGCATGAGAAATTGACACTAAGTACAGTATCCCACAATATATATTTTTACTTGGTGGCCAGTTCAAACTTTTCTGCATTGCGTTGCTCGTATGAAGTCTGTGTATTGATTGCGAAACTAGTCTTAGCGACACAGAATAGCACGAATCAAAACGAGCAAGCCCCGTAGCTAGTCCCACTTATTGCAGAAGTGCATAAATCAAAATGTCAATGGGGGTTGCAGAGTTAGCACCGGTAGTTACTGAAATAGAATTGTGCTTTTGTATATAATAACCCCAGTCATTGCAGAATAGCAGAAATCAAAATGTGAAGAACATAGCAATATTTCATGTAATATTGTATTAGCATTTT